GACGACAGGTTTATCAAAAGGAATCTTAAGGGGAAAACTACTACATTCGTTTCTTTGCGTCTTTCGCTCCATAAGTTATACAGTCTGGGCCATTTTAAGACAGTCTGTATAAAGTGCAGCTCTTTCTAACACCAGTTACGTCAACTTGGTAATTATGAGGTCATCCTCAATTCGTCATCTCGTGGAAGGCCTCAGTTTTTTTGTCCACTTTTGAAGATGTTTTAAACTCTCAGAAATTTCATATTTGAAAGTTTTTTTTTTTTTTATCAAATATACGCTTTTGCAAGACGAAAACTTAAAAAATCGCAAAAAAAGAGTTTCTGGTTATTACTGTGTTAGTATTACCAATGACGTTGTTTGAAGTTAGTACTTATTAAACACGATTAAGACTGTGGCAAGTCCACCTATAACCGTAAATATCTAGCACGCGGTTTGTTCCACGGAAGTTTAATTGAAGTATCGTAAAAAACGCAGATTGTTGGGTCTTGGTGTTGAGCCGTTCTTCACAACGGTACACAGAACTCACGGATTCTTCCTCGCTTTCCTGCTTTTTCTCCTCACAATAACTCACTAACTAGGAAAACTCTCTCTAAAAGCTCGCCATTTTTGTCGCAACCGGTTGTCTGATTTTGCTCACACGTGTTCATTACCTTATTTAGTAGTACTCGCAAGTGTCACAAACTAAGAGGGATGGGGGCGGTCAAAACTCTTGTACAGTCTCACTTCTATTAACACTTTGAGCGAGCGGTTACTATCAACCACTTCACATTAAAAGGCAAGGAAGAGATCGGGGAGTTAAATCTTTTGATAAAGAGCACTCAATTCCCCATTTCAAAAACGAGTGGGGGAGTGGGTCGAGTTCGTCGCGCAAGTTTGTCAGGGATCGTTACTCGGGACACGAATCTTTGTTTACTCTAGATTTGTGTCCCGAGTAACGATCCCAGACAAACTTGCGCGGCGAACTCGACCCACTCCCCCACTCGTTTTTGAAATGGGGAATTGAGTGCTCTTTATNGTGTCACAAAAAAACAATCCTAAACGCAACCTGAGAAGTGAAAAATATAAAGCTAAGATGAGTTAGTTGAAAAATAACCAAAGTTTGGACAAAAACCATCCACAGATTTCATAAGAATATACCGTAGAACATTTGCAAATAAGTCATCGGTGGAAAATATACAACTGAGATATCTCAAAAAAACGATCTGAACGTTGATTAATAATTTCCCCTCTAACTGGTATAAAACTTTATTTTTCTGTTACTAGCCCAGCCTTTAAACCCTAAAATAATGACTGCATCACATTGAATTCATTAGTAAGATCATGGGAGTGAAGGAAATGATTGCAACCTAAGAAGCTATGATTGGTAAACAAATTCTTTTTATCGGTAATAGCGGAAGTGTATAGAGACAGGTATGGAGAATACGGATACTGATGTTAGGTTGTAAAGCCGGGGGTTACCGAGCGTTACTGTATAGAACTGCCCGCTCCAAAAAGATGACAGTTTTCTCTATCCTCCTTTCTTGTCTGCTTAACAATGCATTGCTGCTCTGAGGGGCGATCCAATTTACTCGCGCTGACCTGAGGGTTTATTGGGTAACAAGATCAACATATTTATACAACGAGTTTCTAATAAGTTACTGTACAATTGTTTGTTATTATCCTGAACATGAAACAAGAGATGCGAAACAATAGACCTCGCTTCGTTTATCAATCGGAATGCGAGATTTTATTCAATGATGCGATTCTACCAAAAATTATATATGTATTGTATCACAGGTGTGTGACAGGGAGCTTTACCCAGTATCTATGTTCAGAGTTGATGTCGACGAGAGGCAGTCGAGTGATCTTCCAGAAAGCGGAAAAAGTAGACCTTCCCAAGAAAATTCAGATGGTGAAAGGTAGGAGTTTCTGCAAAAATAGTGTACGTAGATGAGCAATTATCAGTGCAGTGTCGAAAAGTATCCGAGGTTTCATCGGTGCTGCTTTACTTCGCTTGGTCCAGAAAACTCGTGCTACTCTCTCAACCAGTCAGGTGTAAAACTAAAGCCGACGGCGACTTGGTTAGCCGCGTTAACCACCTCCACAACAATTATCGCTGCGATCTCGGCGATCTAGAAAATAATTCATGGCACGTTCAGTAATTTCATCGATTGGAAATGCTTCATGAACCATTATAATATCATGTTTATCATCACAAAATTGTATCCACAAAAATTTTTTTTTAGAATAAATCTATCCACTCTTCAATGCTTTCAGGCGTGCAGTGGCTCCAGCAATTACCCATGATGTTCAGCCGTTGAAAACTCAAATTGCTGATGCTTATGGTTTCGTCAAACATCCTAATAAATACCAGTGGAAGACACTACCAAGTTTTGAAGGTCAAATCGGAAAAGGAGGCTGGGCAGCAGCAGCTCGACTGGCAGAGCAATTCTTCAGAGACAACAACAACGGCGCAACACCATGGAAACATTTACTGGACAACCGAACCCCTATCAACCTCCTTTACATTACAGCGGCTAGATACCTATTTGTAACCCACGTTCTTTGGGAAAAAAGTAATAGAAGGTTAATCGCTTGTCAGGAAAATAGAGCCGGAGGCAAAAAAAACCTTATTGAAAGCATCGAGATCCCTGCAACTGGAGTGTGTTTTCCTTTACCTTATGGCAGCGCCACCTACAAATCAGACTACGACGTCGGGCTCATCGGAAAAGACTCTGGAACCGTCACACAGAGCTTTAATCAGTATTTTCAAGCCGCCGCCCCGGATGGATTCGGAAAACCCTCGGAGCTTGTATTTGACACAAATGTTTACGCCTTCACCCTGGAATTTGCTTTTCCAAAGATGTTTCCCAAGCTACGCGATAATTTTGCTAATAGAGTCGAAAAACTTGAGATGAAAGTGAAGTACAAAATGCAAGAATTGGCCAGTGCTTATTACAAGGTGTTTAAGTACAACAACGATTTCTATACAGTGTTGACGAGTTCAGCCCAAAATAGAATGCTAGCGGCTCCCAAGCAAGTGTTAAATGGGTGGCTGACAACCTTCGGTGACTTAAACACCGCAGAAAGTTTCAGACAAGGGCCAGACACAAGCGATCATGACTTCAGACTCGCCCACAACAATAAGTACCAAGCGTTTGTGGCAGCCGTGTCACAAAACGGAGGATATAACCCAAACATGATAGGTGATTAGTGATTAGACGCAATGCAAATCTAAACCGAAATGAAGCGATCGTCTGTCAATTGTTAAAGTCAGTGCAAGATTCCTTTGGTTTGCTTTGTCGTCCTTTCTAACTGGTCTAGAAAATCACACCACCTTCTGTCGAAAAAGTCACGATAAAAAAAATAAACAAGTTAAACCACAAAGTTTCTGAGAAGAGCTTTTTAAAGTTTTCATCAGATGGCAAACATCCAGCTCTGTGATTTGATACAATAGGAGTGTTTTGAAAACAAAAAAAGAAAAGGGCATCCGGAATGCTAGTGATATTCAAGGAATAACTATGTTGCATCATAACCTTAAATAACATGTAACAATTAAAATAAACTTTAAATAACGATAAACATGTATAATTTCCTGCTTCAACAGACAACGTTGCGAAGGCCCTACTCTACGCTGCTGAGGCGTATCATACCCGTGGCGCCATACGACATGTGGTAGTGGGCATGCAGATGAAGGTGTTCGTAAGGCCCACGTTGAACACACCGCTGTCAACCTACGACCTGTGGGTGTCCATGATTGAAAACTGGGGAGATGCAAATAAGGAGTATCAACACTGTGGTCATGATAACCTCCTCATAAAGGCGTGCTTGAACAAAATGAGCAAATATTTGGCGAGGATGTTCGATGCCATGCGACCGATCCGTAAGCGCATACAAGGAAACGAAAAAAATCGAATGATAGACATGGGTGACCCCGCGGGATATGCGGACTTATGGCGGCGTGAGGGTCAGAGAGCACAAGCTGTAACTTATTACAGGTTTTTGAAACAGTTCCAATGCATGGCAATGGTAAACGTAAACGCAGAGGCACCCGTCGCTAATCAGCCTCTATCAAGTAATTGTATGGCAAACATCAACAACGTAGTGAACACTTATAATGCAGTCCTGGCAGGTCTCGTGACCAACAAGGACGGAAAAGGGATGTAAGCCCCATTCTCCTTGTGAAGACCTCACAGAACAAGTAATGACTTCTCCTGACAACGCCAATACACTATCAAGCAACAGGTGGGGAGAATTATGCAAATCATCAAGAGACCCAAATAGTATTGATTATACCTCCAAATTTTCACAAAGGATTTTAACTTGCAAGAATAGTTTCCAATCAGATGTAGGCTGGGTAGTCATCATAGATCACCAAAGCAGTACAGCTTCACTGTTATATCTAGCCATTAACTTACTCATATTTAAAGTATACATAATCAGTGTCTACATTATAAGGCAAAAGAGTCCTTTATTAGTAGAAAAAGTTCCCATAAACAAATGAAAATGTCTTATAACATGAAGAATCAATAGGAAAAATATGACCTAATAAGAATCAAAATCTACAAAAACTGGAAATAACACGCAATATCGATGTTTGAAGTTCCTGCTTGCCGCCATTTTGAATCGTTTGACGCCACACGGTTGCCGTTCTGGATCGTTACCAGTAACTGAGCAACTCCGCACCTACCCCTCCCCTAATCCAAATTAAACGTTCACTTGCTTAAAGTTGACTGTTTTGGTTTAGGGCGGGGAGGGGTGGGTGTGCAAGTGCTCAGATACTTCCATTGATCATTCATTATTATAACCAAACAACAGCTCCTATGATCGTGAGGCTCTGATCAGTCATTAAGCAGATCATAGTTTCCAGTGATGGATCTTGGGGGGTACACGGGGGGGGGCGACCACCTCCACCCCCTCCCCTCCTGATTTTGGGTAAAAAAAAGTAGACACATAGGGAAGAAGAGCCGCAGGTGGACACACGGAAACAAAACCGCACCCCCTCCCCCTCCTCCCTTAGCTCAAAGTCTGGATCCGAGGCCTGGATCCGCCACTGGTTTCAACCAGGAAATTAAAGTCACACGATCTAACTCCTCCGCAAGCACGAAATTCCACTTTCAAAGGCCGTATCTGTTTCGCTTTTTTCTTACAAAACAACGCTTTTTTCACATTAATGCAGAAAAATTTTAACTTTAAAGATCAACTTAGATAACTTGACGACCATCTGTTCTGACAGTAGTGGTTTGGTATAAAGAATGAGAGAAGCCGATATACGCCCTCGTGGCATGAGAATACTTAACTACCAAGATCTTATTATTATTCTCCTCACTAGCTGCTACACATTTACTCGTATAGTTTTTAAGAGAATTTGGTGTTTAATCAAGACAACAAATTCTATCTGATAAGCTTGAGAAATATCATTATCGAGAGAAGTTGCATGTTAATCACTTCAACTCTTATCTTCCGGTAATCTTTTATTTACAATAGTCGTTGCATGATACCTAACTAAGATATTCGAGATCTAAAACCAAGAGAGAAAACCCTGGAGATTATAAAATCGGTGAAAGAATCCATAATTGCACTTTGGAAATCATTGATTAAGCAGTAGATGTTTTAAGAGATAGACCATTTTACGTAAAAACTTTTAAAGTGACACCTGCACTGCTAGCAGTCTCACTCATTAGGACGAAGTGAGACTGATCTGGGACCATGTTGGTCACGCGCGTCCTTAATGGGAGCCATTCTATTATCTAACGTATTTTAGAACGCATGAAGTCTTTACTTAGGTTGCAGTTCTTGACTCTTGGTAACTTTGAGGCTCGACTTCCAGCCGCCGTTCGGGAACCGGAGCTCGCGTTCCTGCCCGAAGAGGGAGGAACGGAAAAGACCGGATCAGAGAGAGGGGCGGAAATCGAGCCTAGGTAACTTTGCGTGATTGTTCATCCCTGTCGGAGAGCCAGGGAAAAAGCTGTGATATCGATGAAGATTGCGCGGAGCTGTCCGGAACGTGATTACCTTCATATCATACTAAAATACCGACAGGCTTTATACTAAATAGCAATTGTTTTATTTGGATATAGTGAACTTGAGAGAAGATTCGACTGGGCTTCCGACCAGCTTGAACCAGAAAGTGGTCTTAAGTATAAGCGTAACGATTTCTTCCTTACACAAGTTTAAACTGTTCTTACCAAATATGAGCGACTAAAAGTCCGGACCGCCTATTGTTATCATCGAATTATCTTAGCCGCATTTAACGAAACAAAACAAAAAAAAACTAAAGCCAGTAGTCGTACTCAACACTTTAACAACAAAACGAGGATTACTTTCTCATATGGATTACTTCCTATGCAAACACCTCTAAGTTAATTTAATTTGTGAGGACCATTTTCATCTTGTTGAAATAAACGACTGTTGGAACCAATCCAGGGGTAAATCTCTTTTATCTTTCTCGCCATATTCACACCAGTTTCAGTCATGATTTAGATTGATTCTTAACTCGAACCCAGATCCAACTTTTGTTTAGGATTTTGGCTGGACAATAAGTCAAGCTTTCGCTCCTTATATGTCCTTATTTATTGTTTGAAGGAAAAGGGATTTTTTGTTCGTAAGACAAAGGTTAGTAATCACCGACGCGTAGCCAGCTCACCGAGCGCGAAATTTAAATTTCTTCGGAAGCGATTAGTGTTACAAACACAGCTTTTGTGGGGGAGGTTGTGGTAATGATTGTTGCAGCCTAGACACATCTAAAAGGGGTGGGGTGGGGAAGTTTGTGTCAAGAAGAGCGAGGTCTGGACGATAAGTAAGCGAAACTTACGCATAATAGCTTTAATAAAACGACTCTGAAAGTTGATTGAAACTTTTCGGTCACTTGTGAACCATTACAACTGCAACTTCTTCCTAAATTCAAACTCTCCTAGGCTAAATACAACTTATACAAGTCATTTGATCTTTTTCGGGCCCATTCTCGCGCCCAAAGCCCATTTCGCTTCTCATAGCCTGAGCCGGCTAAGAGAAGCGAAAACGGCTATTGGGACGAGAATGTTTCTGGCCACGATACTACTCTTCCCAGTGGACCGCTGAACCCAAAGAATTTTTTTTACCGCTTTAAAAGTAATGTTGTGAAATCAAACACGTAGTACATTGAAATGCATTTGACTTTGACGTATTACGTGATGTTCATTTAAAAACCGTTACTCTAGAGCTCAAGGCGGCAAAAAAACTCGTGGGTGTAGCAGTCTACTGAGAAGAGTAGTGACGCTTTAGCAATCAAACTTGGAAGTTATTTGTATTTGAATAAAAAAACCGCTAGTTCACAGTCGAATCAGAAGTGTCTGTTAAGTTGGCGCGTTATCATGCTAAGAACTCTAACAGAGAAAGAAAGTTTAAATCCTCCGCTTTTCCCTTTCGCTCATTTTCCTTAACTCCATTTTATAACGCGCAATATGAGTATAAAATTTGGCGCCAACTTAAGATACACGGAGGGCGGACAGTAAAAAATGATCCTAAAAATTACCTCTATTAATTAACTGCGTGCGTGCCGGCAGTTTAAATTCTTCAGCGCAATGAATATAACACAAAACAAGTCCGCAAACCGAAGGGAACATTAAAAGTGTGACTTCACACCTTTTTACGTATAAGTGACCTCACTTTTCCTTCGTCTTGCGCTCAAAACTTAGCGCTCTCACAGTGAAACAAGGTTCTATCCCTCCGCTTTTTCCCCTTCCCTCATTTTCGTTAACACCATTTAAAACCTGCCATGCGACTACAAAAGTTAAAAAGAGAGCGTTTTTCTCTGCCTATTATTGTAGTGACCTGTTGTAGTCACACTCAGGCAACGTTTAAAAATAGAGGGAGGCGGCAAGCGAGCAGATTAATTAAGGGTATTCTTCTAAAGTTCAACAATAGCATAAAAAGGCTCACAAACCCTATCCGGAGTCAGAAATCGCTTTCTACAGTTTGCGAATGAGCGTAACGCTAACACTATGAGTAAGTTTTACTAAGTCTCCAAAGTACTTGACAAGCGCGCAGATGCCGATAATCGTGTTCAGTTTCTTGTTCGCTGGCGCGGTTATGGGAGAAAGTACGACTCTTGGGTGGACGCCGAGGACACGAACGAGTACCTGAAGCAAGTGTTTCGCACTCGAAACCAAGGTAACCCTGGCTTGCTTCAGACCTTGAGCGTTCTTATCGCCGAAAAGTTGAAGATGAAGAAACCGCCGTCAACAAGCATCGTGAGACGTGTCTCCGCAACTATGCCGATGGATTCCGAGACTTTCAGAGAGTTGTTCAGTGGGCTACCTTCAGCACCAAATCTTTTGCGAGCGACTAAGTTTTCAGTGCCTGTTCACGAGCTTGACACGATAATGCCTGCTGGATGGTCATTAAATACTTTCAAAACTTCAACTACTTGTCGGTTGCAGCCCGGCAAGCCTGTTGAGTTAGCTCTATTAGAGCGAAGGAAAGTATTTTATGATCATTCCAGGTGTTTGCATTGTCAGGGCGGAAATGGTGCACCCGTCGCTTGTAAAGATGTCGTGCAGAGGATTGTTTACGGATCAACTCTACTGAAGGTCTCATTCTGCCGAGAGCGGAATGAAGAAGCCCAGAAGAAGCCCAAGGAGCGTACAAGGCTAACTTGGGCAAAACCCAGAGTCGTCAATAAGTAGAGTACAGTTCGGTGACTTGCCGTTGGGTAGGTCCCGTAAAAAAAAACGGCTCCTTTAGGAGCCACCACAATACAAGAAAGAAATGACCAACTTGCAATAGATTGTGTTACTATGTTCTTCCACCTTACTCTTTTGCAGCCACTTAGTAAAGAATTATTTCCCGCCTCGAATGAGGAAGCCGCGGGTTTGATTTCACCCTTCACCCATAACGAGTTTCACCCATAAAGCGTTTCGCCCAGACGTGTAGTGTGTACATGAAATAACATTTTCCTTACCAACAGAGAGAAAGTCAATAACTTTTCATTTAACTTGGATGAATTGCAACATAAAAAGCAAATATTTCTACCATTTTAAATTCCTTTCAAATTTTTGTCTTGATTTGCCCACAATACATGTGTAAGAGATAACAGTTTACATACTAGCACAGAAAAAGTCAATAACTTTTTATTTAGCCAGTTAACTGATAAAAGGCTAACAACATCTTATCAAAGTTGTTACCAACTTGTAATTAGGACCGCGCGTCTATTTGTAAACAACACAGTGTAATTATACATTGTTGCTTTTCGTATTTAAATACATGACTTCACTTTGGAAACAATGGAACAATAAATTGTGCCAACTTCGCACCTTTCCGAGTAAACTTCATTTTTTTTTTTCAAGTTAAAGGTGGAGATTTTTGTAAGACAGAAATTTTCTTTTGGTTAGAACTTTCATACCGCACGCTTTGCGGGAGTCAGAAAAATTAACGCTTTCAACAGCTGGACTCTGGGTCAGATGGCCCGGGTTCAATTCCTGGCTGGGGCTTGACGTTGTGTCTTTAAGCAAGACGCTTCACTCACATTGCTTTGCCTTCTCGGATAGGACGTATAGCCGGAGGTCCCGTCTCCTGCACCTATCAATTAGTTAATTTCGGCAGGGGACGTTAAAGAACCCACACCACGAGATTACTGTGATGTGGTTTGGCCTGGTTTGTGGGAATGGGGGAAGGGGGCATCTGTAAAATTTCTTTTAATTGTAAACTGCAGCCGGCAGTCTGGAAAAGTCCCCCGCACGGTGTTGTAAAGCGCATTAGAGCATTTACATGGCTCCTTCAGGAGCCACCAAATAAAATAAAAGTCACTGACCAACTATAATAAACACAGCTTCAACTTATACGCTTTTAATCTCCAAATTTCAATTTACACTCGCCCAATGCAAATTAAATTAGTTTGTTGCGGGCTTGTTTCTCTTTTCACTCTCCCCGTCTCTTATTTCGCTAGGAGTGGCGCTCTGTGTCTGCGAACCTACGGAAGTGAAGACCAGTAAATTCGTGATTTTATAATTAGACAAGTATGTCTTTTATTTAAAAAAATGCAGCATGTCGATGTAAAACATTGTTGCCACAAAATTATGAGATATTTTGTGTTTTAAAGACTTATTTTCGCCGAGCTTAAAAAGAAAATAATTTTACCATTTTCCAGCAAATCCCGTATTGTGGGCTGATCACTTAAGAATCTGGCTGCGAGCAGCACCATCCGATCCCTGTAAAATCAACATTGAACTTAAAAGAAGCACCAAGCTTCGCAAACTTCAGCTTTAAAAACACCAGAAAACACAACTTACCAACGAACAAGGTAATCTGCCGGCGGCCTCTCCTGAAAATGAGTACAAATAATTGAATGCTTTTTTATTTATTTATTTTTTTTTAGTATCTATATATATATATATATCGATTTTACTAAGTCTTGTATGTCTGTTAGGCAGCTGTGCATACGTCGACCGCAACATTGGTATTTTGATTGACAAGTTTTT